CCGCATCCACTGATGTACCTGAAGAGTTATTTTCTTTTGCTGTGTGAAACAACACTTTCTCAGTATAGCTATTTCAAAAATGCATGGTTCTGTCCAATGAGTTCTTGGATACAGAAATGGCACTATGGGAAGGGTGGCCCAAAAAACTCTGATTGTGCAGGTGATTTTTGTATTCACCCTCTAACAGTGTCATGGCTTGTGGAGTGACTGGATAGAGTCAGGCATTTGAAAAACTGCCTCCTGAGAACTTCCCAGGCATTCAGGGTGGCAGTGCAGTGCAGAACAGCCAAGAGAGACTATACACACACCCCAGACATGATAGGAAGAACAGCACCTCATCCTCCTTGTCTTTGATTTCAGCAGATTGTACGGAACACCACCATGGCTACCGCCATCTGCCATTCTCCTCCTCCTCATTCCTTGTGTATCTACTCTTAAGCAGCCATGCATTTGGTTTGAGCAAAGAGTATACTTTAAATATCATTACTAGTGAGTACTGAATGAAGCAACTGCAATAACTAATTTTATACATGACTGAGATTGATTTTATAATTATTACCTTAACTTAGGAACAGTAGCCCTCTGGCACAAAAGAATCTTAAAACAGTCACTGTTGTATTTTGATTTGTGTATTTTATGTTTATGTTTTAGATAAATAATTTTTTTTTAAAAAAACCAGTCATTTAACACCAGCACACAGATTTCTTTAAGTACTGATGACATCTATTTTTCAATCATTCCACTTTTAGAACAGTGGCTCTTTTGTTCCTTAAAGACTGGCAGGGGAAAACTTAACCAAGTTTACCACATCACAGATGATAACTTTGTCAGATTTCACTTCATTGTGAACAGAGGCTGTTGCCAAATACACTCCACCAACAGTGAGAGCACACCTATGAAACACTCCTAGGAAGTGGTTATGTTGAAAACTAACCATTATTTTCTGCTACAAAACTATCAGAACTCTTTTAAAAGAATTTAGAGCTGATTCAGCAAAGAGATATCTTGCTTACAACTCATTTTCTCAGCCAAATGACTGAAAACAGGCAGGGTGCTGTTATTCATACAGAGGAGAGGGCAGAATCTGTTCTTGATCATCCCAGAGGGTCAAAGACGTAATAATGAGCTCAAGTTACAGGAAGCCAGATTTCAGGAAGAACTTCCTAACTGTTAGTGCTGTATGACAATGGAACCAATTAACTCAGGAGGTAGTAAGCACTTCGCAGTGAATGATGTGATGTCATCAAGCTGAGTATATTAGCTCATACTCTCCTCAGACCACTGTCTGTCAGCAACACTTGAGACATTACTTCACTATAACTACAGTTGTGCCCTGCTTTACGATTGCCCCACATTGCGACGACGTTTTTGCGATAGCTTTTGTGATCACAAAACGATGGTCTGAATAGGGTTTTTTCACTTTACGATGATCGGTTCCCTGCTTTGGGAACCGATTCTTTGCAAAACGACGATTTTCCAACAGCTGATCGGCGGTTTCAAAATGGCCGCCGGGTAAGTAAAATGGCTCCCTGCTGTTTTCTGGGACGGATTCCTCGCAAGATAGCCACCGAAAATGGCTGCCCTATGGAGGATCTTCGCTGGCCAGTGAGTTTCCAACCCATTGGGATACACTGAAGGGGTTTCAATGCGTTTCAATGGGTTTTTTATTTTCGCATCATGACGTTTTCGTTCTACAGCGATTTCGCTGGAACGAATTAACGTCGTAATGCGAGGCACCACTGTATGTTCAGTTGAGAAAGAGTAGGTGGCACTATCTTGCCAAATAAATGTACATAAAGGAAAACAGAAAAACTCTGGGACAATGAATGCAGGGAAGTCTGTGTAGACTATTCTCATCTCAGCCCAGGGCATACCTTACCTTTTGACTTCCACATTTAGTAAATCCCCAGCAGCATAAATGTTTGGTTCCTATTCAGCCATTCAGTTTGCATGACACCTCAACTGCTACCTCCTCAAAATATAATATATTTTCATTTTGCCTGCTCCACCTCTTTTGACTACCAGCATTTCTCACCAATGACTGTGTTGGCTATGGCTTATGGGAGATGCTGTCCAATAAATATCTGGAGGCCTGCATTACACTCATCCTTGTACTATGTGGACAAAAAGGCAATGGAGTAAGATAGCATCTCCATGATATGTTTACATAGAGACACTAGTTCAGAGTTTACTGCTGCACTAAACTCAGAAAATGTAGATGCTAGGGACAGCGGAGAGAAAGAAGAGAAATGGTATCAAATATTGGATCAATTATTGTTGCAAACTCAATACAAGTCAAAGTATAATGCTCTCAAACAAGGAAGAATTACTCAAACAAAAGTATTCCATTATGAGTGGTCAACTTTGAAGGCAATCATTCACAACTACCGTTTTACTCCAAACAATTGTAATAACTTTTTGTAATAACTTCTATTTATTTGATTTTGGTGAACTCTGTGAGATATGCAATATACAAATAAGCCATGTTTTTAATTTTGGATACTCCACCATAGGAATTGACATTAAACTTATGGCATTCATGATCAACAGGGGCGGCCACCTCCCTCCCTCTAATACCTTTGCGAACTACGCTAGATTATGATGCACTGTTGCTCACAGGGGACCTTCCCTCCCAAACTGAAAGAAAGTGCTGCCAGGCTGCTTGGCTAGTGCTTGAAGTAGCAGAATAGCTTCTTTTTCAGAAAAAGGATTAGAAAAAACTTTTAAGGTTTTGCTTAATTTGAAGCCGTGAGATTTCAAAGATACTGGAATTAGTCTAAATGAATTATGGCAAAAAAGAAGCAAAATGAATTAAGAATCAGTGACCTAAATTTATTATCTCTGTATGAGTTCACAATTAATATGTTTAATTAAAACTGAATTCACTTTACAGTATAACATGTATTTGGTGGCTCAATTATGCTTTTATGCTCTATTATTATTATGCTTACTCCATCTGCCCTTGTGAAATTATTTTTTACAGTAGAGAAAGCCATTACTGGGCTCTCTCATATTAATATGGCCTTTGGCTAGTGCAATAAATAAAAATGCTCTATTCTACTCCTATTATACACCTTGAAGGAACTCAGATAAATTTCCAGGACATTGCATTCTGTGTGGATATCTTAAGGTATTCAAGGGCAGACTCCCTCCAAGGCTGCAACTGGCTTCAGTACAATTCACTGGCCCTTTTCTCTCCACACTGTTCTCATGAAGCTAGATAATAATCTTTTTATTTTATACTTCCCGAAAAAAGAGCCTTCCCTATCTTCCCAAATTGAGTCAAAGAATATTAGCTGTATAGAAGTGAAGAGGCAGAAAGCATTTGCAAGAGTAGGCCATTCCTGGAATCAATCCGGCTGCTTGCCAGTTCCCTATCACCTTTCTGGAATGCAGGGAGGATCTGCAGCATTTTTCCCCCTTGAACATTTGTCTCTCTCACCCAGTAAATTCTGTTCTCTTGCTTCTTTTAGCCTCTTGCTCTCACCTTATGCGGCTTCCGTAGCCTTCCTCTGCCCCACTCCATCACAAGACACAATGTGTCCAAGACACAATGACTCCACTGCTTCAAATCTTCAACAAGTATTTATCCTTTTAGGCACACTTACCTATCTAAACATTTTAAACCACTTTTATTCCCCAGACAAACCCCCACATAGCAAAGAAGCATCAAAAATAAAAAGTATGAAGTTCCTTCTTTTCTCTCTTTTCAGTTTCTTTCATCTTCTAGAATGCTTCTAAAGTCTTGTCCTTTTCATCTTGGATTATCTCCAATCTTGTCACCCTTTCCTTCCCATGCCTCATTTCTCTACTGCCCTTTTGTCACTATTCACTATACCTGCTCTAGTTTTTCTCTGAAATCACACAGCTTCTCCATATTGTCATGGCTGATGCTCCTCTGGATCAAAAGAAGATGCCATCCACCCCTTAACAAGACCTCTCATCTAAGTGTTGCTAGGGGAAACTTTACTGGCTCCCCAGTTCTACATACGGAAGTGGAAGAGGAGTTAGTTTTGTTTTCTTCCACTATAAGAGGGCAATGGGTACATCACCACTGGAACAAGGCTGCACGTGCTAGTTTTTCTTTCAAATTTTAAGAAGAGGAAACTGGCAAGTTTTGCCAGAATTTCCCATTTTTGTACCTTCAAAACCTTCTATATTTTCAAGGTAATATTGACAACTTTCTTATCTATTTCACTTCTTCTTGGCTTGAAGGAAGAGGAGGAGGATTCATCATAGTTTCAATTTTAAAAATTCAAGCAGAGAGCCGTTTCAAAATGCTAATAGCAAGGCGTAGCCAGCTGACGGAGAGGGGAAACACTTAACTAGTAAGTCATATCACTAAATCACGTGAGACAAGAGGATTACAGCGGTTCAGGCCTCAAGTTCATGTGTCACTGATTTTGTAATGGAAAGCCTACAAAAATCCAGAAAATGGGTTGGGGGGGGGGAGAAAGCACACAAAACCTCACAATCTCACCTCAAGAGGAGGAAAAAAACACCAGGAGTGACATTATTTACAAAAAGAAACATCTGGATTTCAGAAACAAACCTGAAATACAGGATTAAATGAATTGTACAGAAGTACCTAAATATGCCTTTCCAAAAAACAGCTACTAAGACACCTAATGCAAGATGGCATTCCCCAGTTTTGTTTTGGGTCCGCCCCCATTTATCTCAAACCATTCAAGCCAGTTCGGGTTCTTCCTCTTCTTTATATCCTTTTACAATCCTAAATCCATGCATCCTATTTTTTGTGTCTTTTAAATATAAGTTGAAGGGTGTTTAGCAGCTCTGGGTGCTGAATAAATAGGAGTTTACTCCTAGTAGTAGCAGCAGTAGCTGAATTCTGTACATAGGAAAACAATGTAAAGAAGTTCAAAGTGAAACACCCATGGCCTCCAGTTCCTTTGGAGGCATCTGTATCACTGAGAGCAATGCTTTATCCAGTGAATATAACATTATTATTCCTAAGCGAATAGAATATCACCTCTACTCACAGCTCCTTGTAGTTAGCGTCGTACAGAGTTGCCCACTTGTTCTGCTGATGCGGCTGCCATTTTATGGACTGGTAGTTGGGATCCAGGTAGGAGCCATTCAAGCTGTCATTGTCTTGAATTAGGCCTGAAGTAATAAGAAAACAGTGGTCTTTACATATTCCTATAACCAAAGGCACGTGGTGGCGCTGCGGGTTAAACCGCAGAAGGCTCTGTGCTGTAAGGTCTGTATATCTTCAGCTGTAAGATCGAATCCATGTGATGGAGTGACCGCCCGTTGCTTGTCCCAGCTCCCGCCAACCTAGCGGTTCAAAAGCATGCAAATGCAAGTAGATCAATAGGGACCACCTCGGTGGGAAGGTAACAGCGTTCTGTGTCTAAATCGCACTGGCCATGTGACCACAGAAGATTGTCTTCAGACAAACGCTGGCTCTATGGGCTTGGAAACGGGAATGAGCACCATCCCCTAGAGTCAAACACGACTGGACAAAAATTGTCAAGGGGAACCTTTACCTTTTTACCTTAAAACCAAATGAGAATTGTGAGTGTGATGGGCCCATGTCTCATTTAACATGGGATGTACCCCACCCCCAAAATGTAGATTTGCAACAAGTAATAGGAAACATTTTTCATTCTCTGCTCTGGCAGGAACTCTTACCCATTTCTGTTTAACATGACAGAATGCTCTCCCTAAGACACGTTGCCATTTTGGCACCTCCAGTCTAGAACTGCCCACTTCATGCAATCACACCAATCAATTTCTTCTGTCTTGGAACATCAACAATATATAGAAGCTCATAATACTATGGGGAAGTGAGGGTTAAATATCACATACCTGGCGAGAGTGGTCCTTGCTGATGCCATGGGGGAGTCTGGACTCTGTCAGGGTTGAGTGGCACAGACCCTGTACCTGGCTCCTGCTTGATCATCCCATTGAGCATCTGAGCATTTAGAGTACTAGGGGGCGACTCTGAGTGTTTCCTCTTCTTGGCAGGGTGCACTGGAAGGCTGTGACAATCAAGCACAGAAAGAACAGGCAACAATATAAAAAGAACCTGGGAAGAGTATATTCCAGCTTCACATTGCTTGTGAAGATAAGACTAAAGAGTCAAAGGATTCACGTAGGCACGTGAAGAAAACAGCGACCAAGCTCACACATTTCTGCAGAAACACTGAGTCTCTCACAAGTCCTTGTCTCTGTAGAAGTGAAAAAATGAGAAACTGTTCCGAACTTGGCACAGATAGATAGCATAAGCACAGACACGCTTCCTTTTTACTACCTCCTCCCCACAAGCTTCAGAATGGACAGCGACACTGTCAGGCTTCCACTTCTCTTAAGTTACTGAGGTGACACAATCTGCTTCTCAACTGCACCACAGGGAACTGCTTTTTTGGGGGGGTGGGGTGGGGTGTTGTGGGGAGAGTGGGATGGAAGAGAATTCAGTCGAATGGGAATCCTGGGGACTCAGGGAAAGCAACAAAAACAACTCTCAAGTATAGAAAATTCCAGATAAAACCTATACTGTAATTCTCATTCCTTACTTTCAATCTTTGCAGGATGGCAAAATGTAATCTGTGATTTATATACTGGCTAGAATCCGGCTGAATACAGAGCACGTTACCATAGCCTTTCGAGACTGAAAGATGCCTAATCTAATCTAATTTATGATGGTGTTAAGTACAATTGTGTAACCTGAAATGGTGGCTAGCTGTAAATTAATACATCCCTGATTGCCAGATGCATAATTCTGCATGCGACTAGGAGTTCTATTGGGGATTAGTGGGTTTTTTGCTACTCCCAAGTTACTGCACTACATTTACACAGGGTAAATATTGAATAAGATATTGGCCATTATTTGCTTGGGAACCGAAAGTGCTTCTCCCAGATGGAACAAAACTCAGCAGAGGTAAAAATGTAGCTTGTCTCAGTACTCTTTGACTTTACAATCAATCCCTAAAAATGTCTAATAGATCTCACGTAGCAGCACATCCCAAAATAGGGAAGGATAGTGAAAAATCTATCAGATATGCCAGTGGCCTCAGGGGAGCTGATGGAATAGAAGGATGAAGGGAAGTCACCTGGCATCAGATAAATGTCAGCAAGACTTATAGCAAATAGGTTTTGGGAGCATTTCCCATAATTCAGTGAATATGGATAAAAAAAACAAATAGCACTGAACACAAGTGTCTGTGCATTCCTGTGCTGCACTTATACCCTCTCCCCAAGAAATCTTGGATGTACTTTTGTGAGGGAGGGCAAGACTTCCTGAACAAGCTACACTTTCCAAGGATCTCTGGAAAGCCATATAAAGAAACAACGAGTCGTATCTTCAGAAATGTGATATAACCAGGCCCAGTTCCCACTGTATTTAACCCTTCTGACCGGAATTGCCATTCTATATCATAAGCCCCATTCACTTGTACTAGCCATTATGATCAGCCTTAGAGCATTCAGCACAGTCATTAACTCTGGCACAGTACTTACACAGAGATGATTTATTACTTAAAGACAGTACCACTTATCACTGCATAAGTTCAAACCAACTGTAAGGAAATTTAAAGGACTTCCAGCAACAACTGGCTGCCACTCTGACTGTATTCCTCTGTATCCTGTCCATCTTTGGCCAAAGGACTTACTCTGCTCCATGCTGTTGAAGTAGCTGGTGAAGCATCTGTGATTGTTGGGCGTGGTGGAGATCACCAGGTGACATGCCCTGTCCAATAGTGAACTGTGGCATAAGAGGCTCAGCCTTCATATACATATCACGTTGTATGCCGGGATAGTGATGGTTGTGTTGTTGCTGGTGTGGGTGAGGTGGTGGAGGTGGTGGAGGTGGTGGTGGCCCCTGGAGGTGAGATGGTGGAGGGGGTGGTGGTGGTGGAGGAGGTGGGGGATGTTCCAGCCGGGAAGGAGGATTCACGTGGCACATACTCTCAGGAGTCATGGTTCGAAGGAGATGGGGATCTAAAAAGAAAGAAAGACAGTAGATTAGTTTGGAACAATAAAGACAGATAGTCTGACACAAAAGCAGCCCCATCTTCTTTAATCTTGCTCAAATCTTGGGCAGCCACCCCATTTGTGTTCAAGGCCATAGATACGGGCTGGCTCTTCAGAAATACACACATCCCAAGATACCTCACTCCTCTTTCTTACATTCTCAGCTTTTAGCAACACACAAAAAATATCTCTGTCACTGACTGGGATATATGGTAGGTTATGCAGATAGTATTCTGTTCTATTGTTTAATGAGAAATAAATCTCCTTCCACCTTCTGAGCAACGTGGGATTGTGCAGCTTGCGGAAGACCACACAGGCTGGCTCTTTTCATGGGACACACATTGGGGAACTGAATTTCCATCTTCTGGCTCTGCAGCCATATAGCTAACTTACTGCCTATTTAGCCAGTGTGTGGCTGTATATTTCTAAGTTACTGCTTTGCAGAATAAAGACCTTATACTGAGGAATGACTGAAAAAGCAAAAAAAAAAAAGTTGATTAAAATGCCTATCTAAACAAGGACAGAAAAGAGCTAAAGGAGGCTTGTCAATCTTGCTTCTTCTATGTGTCTGAAAAATAAAAATGTCAGCAAAAACCATTATACAACACCTATTCATTGTTTCATTCCAAAGTTGTTTCATGTGAAAGATATTTCAGCTTCTTGAAGAAAGTATTGTTTTCAACAATATCAACTGTACCACATTTAAGCATTTAAGGCAACACCACTGAGGGGGGTTCATTGATTTCATACAAAAGGGACCGCTTGAGATAGGCAGGCCCACAGCAGATGCAAAGATTATACATATCTGGAAACAAGCTGTAGGTCATTCACAAAAGCCCTTGACTCAAGTTCACAACCCTCCTTAGCACAACAAAACTGTGGTTTACTTAACTTTGAAGCCTGATTTAAAAGTTCAGAATGTATACAATGGGCTCCACTCTAAATGTAGAGGTACCTTTCTCTTTAACTCTACTTAGCAGCACCTAGAGGTCCAAACAAAGCCAGGATCAAATTGGTCTTGAACCCTGTGACAGTTATAATAAAATACGCTCTCGGGATGCAAACAGAGAGAAAACTGCTTTAAAAATGCTGGCTTTTTTGAAATATGGGGAAGTGACCAGCATATGATCCAGAGAGCCAATAAACCACCATTGAGCCGGGGGAGGGGGGTGCAATTCTAATCCAGAAAATCTATAGAGACTAATCGTTGAGAGGAGTTATCACAATTTTTTTTAAACACAGCAGCACCAGCTCAACTCTCCATTCCATTCTGCTCTTCACCTTCCTTGAAGGGCACTTTTAACCAGATACTTTCTTTTTCAGAAGGTGTCTCTCTGTTCTCTTAACAGCAATAACAGAAAGCACAGAATCTCAAAGATGGGGTAGAGGAGAAGAGTAACACAGAACTGTTCAACAGTTTGCCAGAGACCACACCTGGAAGCTTTTACAGTAAAGTCTGTTGCCTCTCTTGCTTCCAGTCTCTTCCCTTCTCCTGTATATGTATCTTTTGTTCCTTTTCCCCTTAAACAGTTGGATAAAGACCTTTGCAGTATAACAGGGCTTTCTTCAATATCTTGGAAAAATTGCCACCATTTGAGATAAGCAAGTGGAAAAGGAAACCAAGTTTGCGGGAGTTCTGAATGAAGGAAAGGGCTTCCTTTTAAGCCCTACCTTTTTAGCTGCAACATGACAACAGGGGCACAGAGTTCTAGAAAAACTAGATTCAAAGAACACAAGAGAACTGCACAAAATCATTATCTAAACTTAAACTTACTGCTGTAGTGCTAAAGTGACATCAAAATGTTTCAATTACACATGGGTAATATAGAAAATCATGCACATATTGTGAGACTACTTTTATTAGGCTTCAGTTTGTCTTGTAAGGAGATGCAAACTGGATAATGTCATCCAACAATCTGGCAGCTGAATCGTCCCTTTGAAAGGTTTTTGCTTTGTTTTGTTTTTGCAGAAGGTTCTCATTCATTCTGTGTCCCTGCAATGCTATTCTGTATTTCTTTGGCAACAATCAGAAGTAAGAGACTAATACATGCAACACTCCTAACTCCAAAAGGTTACAATTTGATTGTTTTGGTCAATTATTACTTGCTGAAGCAAACAGGTAAATGGCAAACTCCGGAGCTAGACCAGTGTGAAAAGCATGAAAGATTTTATAGATGATACTGAATTATTTGGGAGGGTGCAATCTGTGATTCCCCTCCTCTCACCAAGAATACGGGGTTATCCAGTAAAATTGTCTTGCAGTAAATTCAAAAAGGACAAGCCAAAATACTCCACACAAAATATAATTAAATTACTATAAATTACTAAAATGTATCAGTCTATAAAATAATCTTATAGCGCTCACTGCTCTGAAAGGCGTTGATGGCCATCCCTGGTCTTAGAAAGGCACCCGAGCGTACAATTTAATAACTAGTGTGATTTTACTTCTTGAAAAGCTTCATGATTTGCAATGTGCTGGGAGAGAATTATAATGATCAAGGCATTTTTTGACATTTAGAAATTTGGAAAGCGAATGGCATAACGGACACTGCAAAACGAATCTTGAGGCAACTGATGGCAGGTACAGTACATTCTTGAAAGCTGCATCTCAACTTCTAGTTCTAAAAGCTTGCCTGGCTTTTGAACACATTACTGAAAACGAGAGACGAATGCCCGAAAACTACGATACCACAGAAGTGAAATGGGAATAACGCATCTCCCGGGATGCATTCAGATCCTATGAACTGTGCAAAGTGTGAGGTCCCCTTCCTTCCTCTCAAGAGGATGACAAACTGTGCAGATTTCCTCTTTTGCTGGGTTGGTGCTGCTGCCTTGGTAAGTGAGAGAAAGCAGTTCACTCTGTGTGGCAAGTAATCTGGCCTCTTTGCTGTATTTAAAGAAGGGCCAGGGGGAATTCCAGGGATTTTTGTAGCGAGATAAACAGAACTCTTGACCTCCTCCACAGAAAAAGAAGAAGTTTCTTTATGAACAGGGCTGAAATTATTATGGAAGGGGCCAGTGAGAAAATGTCTGAAGATCCCCCAATCAACAGTCTTGACTCCACCCAATTCTTCCACCTCTAGTACTAATACGCTTATGTTTTAAACTATTAAATCTGCTGACAAAGGCCTCATTATGGTACAGCAAATATAGCTATTGGGACACGACCATATGCACACAATTTTCTCCATGGTATACAGAGCACTGGGCAGAGATGGAATAAGACTGACCTCATCCAACTAGGAGGCCACGGGGAGGGGGGCAGTCTCCATAATGTGCTTCCCTGCCTGTCACAGGATGCAGGAGCAAGTCTCTGTGCCTCAAAACGAAACCCAGAAAAAAAGATGGCAGAGCGTACTTACCACCTAGCAGCAAATTCATGGCAAAACCCTTGCTTTGGTCTTCATTTCTGTCACAGTCTTTGTTTTTATACAGTTCTCCAGGAGTCTGGCAGCGCAGTCACCCATAAAATGAGGCTCAAATGCTCCATTTCAGGTCCATTCTAGGTAGAAGTCACTCTTTTCCATTTTGTTAAAGGTAGGTCTACGCCTTTCTTTCCCTGTACACCTCCTTTTCCTGCCCACCCACCCCTTCTTTGCAAAGGGTAGCAGGAAAACAATAGGTGAAAGTCTAGGGATATTTGCTAACTGATAATCTCTTCACGTATTGCAGCAGTCTGTTTTTCCCTGTCTGATAAAGATTTCAGAGCCAACCACTTTACCCAGCCAAAGGGGGGGGGAGATTGGTGTGTTTGGGCTTTAATCTTAGAACTTACCATTCACCTGCTGGGGGGAGTATGCTTCTGATCCAGAGTCCGGGGGAGAGTCGGGTAAAGTGCTGAAGAGCAATTGAGAAAAACAGAGGAAAGGGTCAAACAAGCATCTAGCAAAATTGATAAGGTGAAAGAATGTAAAATATCTTTAAAATGGGGGAGCAAAGGAGGACTAGTAACGGTAAGGAGGACCACCCCGGTGCCTGCAGCACCCCCCGCTGGCAGAAATTAACAATAGACTTGGCATGCATTTTTTCTTGGATTGTTTTCCAACAGAAATCTTTTCAAAACTGAGGTCAACACGGCCTCCTCATAAAAGGTTATAGTACATTTATCCTCTTGCCAAAGCCCCACCCAGCCAATCACATCTCCCTCAAAGTACTAAGGAGCCTCCTACACTTAATGCCCAAAGTGTTCACAACAGCGCCTCCCAGTGAAGGAAGCTGGGATGATTTTATCTGTTATTTCCCTCACATCTGCTGCCTGGTCTAAGCTACTCTCACAGTGAGCTCTTTGATTTTATTCATAGGCACATTTTATTTCATGTCCATTTTGCTGATCTGCTAATAACACTCCTCTTTTTGCCTAACAGCTCTTGCTTAGCTAAAAAGAAAACCAAAACAGAAATGTATCTGTTCCCCAGAAAAGGATCATTACAAATACAGAGGCGGCTTTGGGAGGAATCTGGCTTGGTTCCGAAATCTGGCCCATCAAAAGCAAAAACTGTGAACCTAAGACAGTAGATCATCATGTAACTCTAAGGCTATACAGTATATGCAGCAACCCCTCTGAAATTACGAAAGCTAGACCTAATGTAGTCGAGAAAAGAATGTGGCTACAGCAATTAAAAGAAGATAAAAACCACCCCCAAAGTAGGGAACTCTAGTACTCTTTAAAATAAAGAATTCTCCAGGCCTCAACACAAAATCCGAAATTCATATGTTAACCTGTCGATCAGTTTTCTGTGTGGTGTTGTTGGTTTATTTATAAAGCATTATCAATCTTCACAGCATGTACATAATAACATACTAGTATAGGAATGATCTTTTGAGTTCTCATGTACTTGTCCCAAAAAGGACTTTCTATACCATGTTTTAAATAGATAATTCAAAACTAAGATTTCTGCAATAGGACAAACTAACCTCTGCTTTTCAGGCCTCAAGCCCAAACCCTACAAAATTAAAATTTACCTCCATATCATCTTCAAAACATATATATTCCTATAAAGATTTAAATGTCTAGCAAATCTCCCTACAGGTCAACGAGGTCACTTTAAATCTAGATGTCTGATTTGAAGCATACCTACCAGTAGCCAGACAGCAACTCTTATTACTGCTATATAGCAAGGTTAAGTAAGCACAAGATAATAATAATCTTGGAACTGCAGAGCTGGAAGAGACCTTATGGATTTTATCGAGTCCAACCCGTGTCAAGGAGACACAGTGAGGAATTGAACTCCCAACCTCTGGCTCCACAGCCAGATGCTGAAACCACTGAGCTTTGAGGCTGAGGGCTGTGGAAGAAATTAGGTTCTGAAGTGTAATGTAGCCAACTATAAATGAGATAATAGAAAGTCATTTCAGGACAACAGTGAACTGCCCACCTCTGTTATTAAATCAGTGTAACTCCCTAAAGAGCAGCTGCTTACAGGCTTTTCCCAACACAATTCAGATTCTTTGTCTCAAATGGATGGCAAAATCTAATAATCAACTAGCAGACTTTGAAATTGAGTGTGCTCCTTTTCAACACTAGAATCCCTATGGTCTATTTATGTATTTACTTCTCTGGAAAACATCTATGTTACCTTATTCAGGGCAAAAATCACTCCAAAAAGATCTCTATTTGCACTTCAAATAAAATGAATGCCTGGTTGGCCAAATGAGTAGAGAGGGAAATAGATAAATAGATGGGCCAGAATGCATTACCTCGTTAAGTAAGAACCTCTATCAATAATACATTTTCATGCTCACCATCAGAAAATGTGTAAGGATGCCCACCTCTCTCTGTCTGTAGACATAAGTAACCGAAAGATAGAAGCAGACCTTATAAGTGGTTTAGGGTGAAAAAAAGAAAACCCTTAAGGCTAAATGTGTCTATCACCTTCAGAGCTTCTTTCCTTCCTAAAATTGGCAAATTAACTTGCCTTGTTTTATTATTTGAATTGAGGACTTAAGTATTAATTTCTTTGAAACCTGATTTCTTCAACACAAAACACTGTCTCCGTCATGTCCTTCCAATACTAAACACTAACATGCTTTCTTGAAACGTGAAAACTAACATGCTTTCCATATTTAATTTTATACAACTCTGCAGCTATAATTACAACACAATCTTAATGGGAAGAAGCCACAAGAATGAAGTGCTGCATTTTGGAGCCTCTGTGATCTCCAAAGCCCTGCCTGGACCTCACTGGCTTCCTGGAAGAGCAAAAGAAGTCAATCTTCTGCTTCTCACTTCCCACCCAAGATGTGCCTTTTTAGATAGGGGGAAAATCCTCATTGCCTAAAGCACGAAGGAATTCAATTAAAACACTTCAGATGTAACTCCCTCCCCCTGCCATTCTACATGCAGGGATGGAGCTAAGCAAGCTATGTATTCAGCAGATTCAAGTCTTCTTCAACCCTCCACAACTCTTTTTTTAATCTCATGTGAACACTGGAGATGCAAAGGATCCCCTGTGAAAAACTCTGAAGTAGAGCTAGGGGCAGGAAGATATGATCCAAGCCCCTCCTTTGAGATCAGAACTTTTGTCTGAAACCTTTGACAGGGATTCCTACATTTTCCTGTAATCCTAGAGTTGCTGTCCCTGCGATCACTGGCTTGTTTTCTTAATGTGAGAAAGATCGAACACAAAAAGGTCAAACATGAACACTTCCAAGACACATGTGTGTCACCACAGTCTTCTATCCAGTGTTCACACAGCCATGTTTTAAAACAAATACATAGTAGAATATTGAATAAGCTTAGTTTAGTATCATAAAACCTATTTAAATTGTTGATGGGGATGCAGTTCAAAACCAAAGACTTTCAGCAAGTCTGTGATAAACATTGGAGGACAATATTCGGACAAGTCAAACCTCTATTTTACCTCAGATTTTATCTGAGGTAAAATCTGGCATTATATGGGTTCACTTTGGCCCTAGGAAGAGATTCAAGAACTACTGGCATAAAACTGACGTACATAAGTGAATCCTTGACAGAAGGAAAGAAAGTTGATGACAGAAACCATGAAGCCTCATAAAGATAGCTGTGAGGAGATGAAGAAGAAACACCTGCAAAAGGAAAAAGGAATTGATGAAGAAATGGGAAGAACTAGACAGTGAAATTGTGATAAAAACAAAAGGAGCACTGAATGATCAAAGACAGAATAAGTTATCTTGAAATTTGCCTTGATAGAAGGTATGAAAACTTGGTAAGAATCATTTCACTATAATGTGCTGTATACAGTGGGGTCTCTACTTAAGAACTTAATTCATATTGGAAGGTGGTTCTCAAGTGGAAAAGTTCTTATGTAGAATCTGCATTTCCCATAGGAATGCATTGAAAACCATTTAATCCGTATCTGCTCTTTTCCGTCCATAGAAATTAATGGGAAGCTGCTATTCCGCCTTCTACCACTAGAGGGGGATTTTTTCCCCCTTAGGACAGGGAACAGTGTTAAAAGCACTTCTGACGAAGCTAATTTTGAAGCAATGGACTGAAAACCAATTAATCCCGTTCTGGCTGTTTTTTTTTTTATGTAGAGGTGCGTTTGTACATTGAAGCATTAGTTCCCATAGGAACTAATGCAAAGCTGGTTAATACGTACTCTACCACTAGGGGGAGAACTTTTTTTTTAACCTAAGATGACCTAAGGTTAAAAAAAGAGCAGGAAAGTTTTTTTTTGAAATTGTGATAAAAACAAAAGGAGCACAGAATGATCAAAGACAGAATAAGTTATCTTGAAATTTGCCTTGATAGAAGGTATGAAAACTTGGTAAGAATCGTTTCACTATAATGTGCTGTATATAGCCAAACTGAAATGCATCCAAGATGAGGGGTGGAAGACATGAAGGCCTCAAGCATGAAGCGAAAAGCCAAAGGTTTACACAGGAGGAAAAGAAAGAAAGAAATGACAGGGAGCAGAAATAGGAAATGTCAGGTTTTTTTTTTTGAGTAAATGTCTAGAATTCCCCACTGTGAGATTCTAGAAATTGCAGTCCAAAGGTCCCCAAACTCCTGCCTCTATCCTTCAAACCTTAGACTCAAGCACCTTCTGTAATTTTAAGCTGTCTCCACAGCCTGAATTTATGTTCTTTCTTCAGTTCAGTTACCTGGATCTTAATTAGGCTTGCATCTTCTGGAAGTCAAGCCCTGGTGATTCTCCCCCTCTCATGATACCAACTAGATTTGCTTTGAAGAACTTTCTCTTCTTGCCGATCTGTTGGCTTCTCTTCCTCATTATCATTTCAGTTTCCTAATCAAAATATTTAAAGAGGTGACTACACACTCTTGGTGTCCCTACTGAACTGTCCATCCATCTATGTGTCTCTCGGAGGAGCACATGACAACCCTGATGACAGAGTTGACAGCGGACCATAGTGGCAAAAGGGAAAACCTGGATGAAGTTAAGGAGGAGAAACACCTGTGGCAAGGTATCTCAGTCATCAAGGTGTGGTTATCTGAAAGTTGAGTCATGGCAACCGGACTTCCTTCTTGTTAGGTTGAAACATTTTGCTACTCATCCAAGCAGCTTCTTCAGTCTGAGGAGAGTTGGTAGGAGATCTGTGATAAATCCTCCACCTGTGGCAAGATGAGCATGCAGGTGGAACAGAAGAAGTACAGCCCAGGATAAGAGGAGTAAAGGAGGCAGCTGAGAAAGACAAGCTGGTGACGTGAGCGGAAGCTTAGGAGGAGTTGCTGCCAGTGTTCTCTGTCTCAGTGGAAGCAAGGCCAAATATCCTGTGAGAACTGTGGACTGGAAAGTTAAAGGTCATGGATGCAGGGGAGGCACACCCATCTTTACTCCTGTGGAAAGGCAGAACCACCAACCTTAAAGACTGAAGGAAGCTTGCCCATCTGGACC